AAAGATTTACCTTCCTTCATTGGAATTGCTTAAGCTACAGGAGCTTGAGAGAAAACCTTTCATGCAGTATTGATCCTTTTAAAGTCTTTCCAATCTTGAATTTCCCTTTCATGCAGTATTGATCCTTTTAAAGTCAATACTGTCTTTCCAATCTTGAATTTTGAATTGAATATTATCCTTCTTTAAACAAAGGCATGCACATATATCTTGGAAATCCATGCTATTTATGCTGTCTACTGTAATTATACACAAGTTTAATTTTTGTTATAAATAGAAAAGCTTGTAGACTTGAAAATGGGAAAAGACAAAATCTTACTAATTTGACGGTTTCGAGTGTCATAGCTAAGGGTGCATGGTAACAGACAACAACAAAATCACTATTTTTGCGTACCAGCATAGGTTCACGGACCACCAGGCTACTACCACGTTTTGTCTTGTGGTTTAATAGATTTATAGCGAAAAGCAAAATGCAGCATTTAAAAACAATGATTTTCAGGTTATCAGCTGGTGTAAATTTTTGTTAATGTGAACTTTCTTTTAGGGTTTTCGTGGTATTCCAGACTAATTATTGGAAACAATTAGAATAGTAGATTAGAGTAAGCTAAAGCAGATCATATACCTTCAAAACAGTCCCAACTACTTGGGGGAAGACTTGTACTATTTTTTTTATTTTTACAGAGAAAACGTAAGAAAAGGTCTTTTGAAGAATGGACATAAGAAGACTTGTAAGGTTATTCTGGAATCACTAAAAACCTCTAAAACAATTAATGCAAGGTTGCCCTTGCTTGTCAGGAACAACCCTGAAATGTTGCATACTGGCTAATAAGGTCTGGAACCAGCAGTCCCCACAGAGCAGCCCATGGTCCTGCTTCCTGGCTTCCGGTCTCTTTAGCTTCATGTCCCTCATGGATGAGCATACCTAGGGCTTTCTCCTGGTGTTTTTCTTTTTCTGTGCACCCCTTAGGCAAGCTGGCTCTGGTGCTGTAAGATCCAGCATTTAGGTCACATGTTTTCACAAAGAAAGTTTACTCCAGTGACTTTATATAGACAGCAGTACATATGGGGCATGTTTCCGGGACATACAGTAATGATCAAGGATTTAAGTTTAATAAACAAAAGGTAAGTAGAAAATACCACACAGGTGGTGAACATAAGCAACATAACTAAAACTTCACAATATGTGACAACTGTTATTTTCTGAATTTTGCAATGTTTTGCTCTATTTAGTGAGAGGGGGGCTGGTTTTTGGCTGTCTTTTCTACCATGTTGTGGTGAGTTCTTAATAGTGGAGGTTACAGCAGGAAACAAATAAAGCAAATACAAAAGTTATTGTCTCCTGAATATTAGGAGCTCAGTAAGTAGATTACCAGAAAGAAAATAGTACTAATGCTACTATCTGAAGGGACAAGAATGCAGCATGGTGAATTGCAAGTATGCTTGACATGTAATCACGTATCTATCCTTGTGCATGCTTGTAGTTTTCCACCATGTTTGGACCCTTGATCTGAGGGTTTTCTTGGTTGCCTGGACTTTCTTTTTGCTTGTGGTGGTTATGGGCATTTCAAGGACAAAATATACACTTTGATTTATTTCGTGGAGATGATAAAAGCACCTGTGGGTTCTTTCTGATTTCATCTAAAAGACTAGGAAATATTTGAACCTTTATGTTGTGATCCACCTTTGCACTATGTTTAATTGCACAGTGGCTTCTGTACTGAAGGGTTACTCTTTTCCTTGGCATAAGTATAGTACTTAGCATTCAAATGGGAACTTGTGTATTGAGCCAAACCCAATTCTTTACAAATGAATCAGTGCATCCTCATGGGAGGACTGCAATACCAAGTGGAGGTTTGAAATGTGATCTCTTCTGTGGGAGAATTCTCTATAGGTAACATGCTAATGATTTTCAACCTAATTTTGGACAAACAGAAATTGGAATTCACTGAAGTTCGCAAAGAAAATTCTACCTTTGATCAAAGCCATAGCAGATTTCAGCTTGCTCCATTTTGGGAATCGTGCTGATGTGAAAAGTAAGCTTCTCACTAATGTTTGGCATCTTAACCAGAGCTGGCACTCTTAGGCAGTGCTTTAATTATACATTATATTAACCAGTGTGAAATACTGAGCCATATTAAGATAGCCAAAAGCCTTCTTTATAGTTGATTTACTAGAGCTTGAAATTAACTTTTCACAGTCCAGCTCAAACGGATCAGTAGATAAGGAAATTCAGCTCTGTCTGCAGTAAGTTTCCCCACGGTTGTCTCCAGTGCTCTCTCTGGTGCCTTGCAATGCATTTATCCTCTGCAAAGACTCCAGTGCCCAGAAATGCCAAAACACTGGGCATCAGCTGTCAACCTGATACCTCCATTATAAATGTCAATGCCAGTCTTGTGGTTGCTTGGAATGATCTCCTGAAAAAATGGAACTTTAAAACTAACACATTTACCCTGGGCTCACCCAGTGGCTGGTGGGCTGCACCAGGCTGGCTGATGCTGGAGATGTTCCACTCTGTGTGTTTGTAGATGAGCATTTTTTCTCCTTCCAGTACAGTACTCATTCAGATTATGGCTGGGATCTCAGGAGCTCAGGATGAAGTTCTAGACAAAGTCAATTGGACAGAGGTACTTTGTTGTTTCTCTAGCCCTTGGAGGCAGGTGCTCTGCTGAACGCTTGCCTCTTGAATAGCTACACAAAGGCTTGAAGTTGGGCCCTCCAACATTTTCTTGGTAGTGTTTTTTTCCTTAGTGTTACTTCCTACTTCATATGAGTTTTCAAAGCATTTTCTGAAGATGGAAGAGCATCAACTTTTCTTTGCCTCGGAACAGCACATACCAGCTTGCCAGGAGCCTGAATAAAGGGCAATTTTCTGCAAGATACTGATGACAAGTCTGAGTGTTTATGGATCTCTCCAAAGAGAATGATGTGCATGTTTTCCACTAGTTGTTGCACTGAGATGATTCGTATTAACTCTAGGTATGTGTAGATAACACAATAGCATTATCGTGAGTTACTGCATGATTACCACCGGTTCCTCTGGAGTTATCCTGCATAGTTATCCCGCTGTTGCTATGTAATCACATCAATTATTTCACTGGTAGCCATGTAAATTACTACATCTGTAACGGTGTAAAGACCTGAATCTGCACTGGCCCGTTTCCTTGCAATAGCATGCAAGTATGAAGTAGGTGACTGTAGCTGAGGCCTAGAGAATATTCATTCTGTGTACTTACATGCTCCACAATAGTATTTCCTCACATAAGAAATCTGAGTCCTATTTTAAACAAAACAAAATATAAAAACGCAGGAACAATGCCTTCAAGTATTGCAGAAAAAGAGCAAGAGCCAACCATGGGCATCACTATTGTTGCAGATCACTCAGATATCCCTATGGAGTTTGTAATGCCCCACACTATGGGAAAAAATTAAATAGGACCCTCTAACTGTATAGAGACCTGAGTTGTCCGACAGTCAGTGAAATGATATTCCTCAGCCAGATGGGTAGACAGTGGCAGATGGTCATTTCATCCTATACTTATCCTCCCAGCTAATTACCAAGAAGTAGGAGGACAGAAGACAAAGATGCAAGCCTGATGTGCCCTTGTGTCCAAATAGTCAGCCTACCCTTTGAATAAGATTTATCGCTAGGATTTGCTTTTCAGAGTCTTTAGAACTTCCTCCATTTTCCTTGTTCCTGTACCTAATCAGGTATTTTGCTTGGGTTTTTTTATGATGAATACTGGTTGTTCACCTCTTGATTTTGTTAAATTTATTGTTAAAACAATAAGTCTGTCATCTGTAGAGTAGTAGGGGGAGTTAGAGACCTCTGCCAGTTGAATATGGGGACTATCTCCCAGCATGATGACATTTTACACTTTTCTCCTAATAGCATGCTTCCAGCAACCTGCCATGCATTTTCAGATTTCTACACTCAGATATCACATCTCAGAGCTCCCACATCTTGTGCTTTGCTTCTTTTTGATGCTGCAAGACAATACACAGGTCTGGAGCTCCAGGCACTGCAAGATATAATTTCCCCCTATTTAGGATGGCAAAAACGAGAAGCAAGGTATTCAAAGCCATTAGCCAGCATGACCATGTTTTCGGTGTATCTCAAGCAGCTTTCTACATCCTGCTTTTGCAGTGGCCCTGGACAGAGGTCTTAGTTTAGGTGACAGAAAGCTTTTGCTTTTCCTTTTCCTGCAGAGCTGCCCTAGGGCAGAGCTCCCACACGCTGCCGCACACCTCCCCTCATCTGGCTTGTGAAACATTTGGTACCTGCCTTCCCCACCACTTGGCCTTCTGTGGGACAGGCAGCTCTGCAGTGAGAAATGGTGCTTTATCATCCTGTGTCTGGGTGGCAAAAGCAGGGAGAAGGAGACACAATATATAGAGTCAACCTGGGGATTTAAATGACGCTTGGGTGAGAAGGGCATCCAATGATACTTTGGGCCTCTCCCTCAATGGCACAGATAAACCTTTTGGCTTTAAAACCTGTCATCAAGATTGCCTACTTGGGAAGAGTCACATTTCTGCTCCTGTGCTCTGCCCAGCAGCTCTCTGCCTTCTTAGTGATTCTTTGGGTTTTTGTGCTCTGTTGGTACTAAGATATTCTCAGCATGGGCGGTGGGGTCACAGCCTTGCTTACCAACATGGCACGGGGGCACCCCAGCTTCTCATTTCAGAAGTAGCTCAGGAATGCCTGTGTCATTCATTAGGGTGACTAGTGCAGTCTGTCAGCTTCTGAATGGGTTGGACGTGCCATAGCTTGTAGAATTTGCAAGGTAGCTGATATTTTTTTCCTCTTTTTTTAATTACACTGTTACACTTGACTTGCCCAGAGAAGTTGTGTGTTGTGTGCCAGCCTTACGGGAAGTAGGAATGAATAACACGGGGCAGGGGGAACAGTGGAGAGGCAGCTCCCTCCTGTTTAAATTAAAAACTAAGCCACATCAGAATGTTGCCAATTAAAAATAAAATGAATGACTTTGCTCTCTCTGTAGGTGACCTGTCTCCACGATTTCTTTGGGGATGATGATGTGTTTATCGCCTGTGGTCCAGAAAAATTCCGCTATGCACAGGATGACTTTTCTCTGGATGAAAGCGGTAACATTAAACACACACTGCTCTTCAGTCTGTGTTTTTATTTGATTTCCATTCAGTTGCTTGCATCAGATAATAATGCTGCATGCTTTTTTTCCTTTGTTTTTTAAGACATAGTACATGGAATTGAACATCCTTTTGTGATACTTGTGCAGTCAGTGGATAATTGGGCAAATACTGACTGAGGTAGCCTGAGTCGAATAGGTGGATTTCTGCACCATTTGACATTTGCTGCAAAATCTGGTAGTGTATATCCTTTCAATTTTATCCAGTTGCAGTCAGATAGATACATTTTTTTTTGAGAACTAAACAGTAGACATGTGAATATTAAAAAATGGGAAAAAGCACAGTTAAAAGAAAAATCACTGCCTCCACTGCTTTCTTTTGCTGATTCAAAAAGCAGGGCAATAAATCCGTTTCTAGGGAGGGGACTGGGACAGCACTATTATTTGTCCCTGTTACAGCTGCAAGCACAGACCTGTAATAATGGGAGTCTCTATGATCAATTATCAATTAAGCCATGAAATCTTTGATTTCACAGAATATACAGACCTTGCTTGTAGGAGTTACCTACTGCCTATCCCACCTGGCAACAGTACACACCAACAGTGCAGGCAGTCTGCTGATGAGTGAGTGCAGCAAAAGTAAATTAATGTAACTTTGACCATTTAAAGTAGAAGAAAATGTGGTCTCTAAACATTCAGACTCATTTCCTAAAACTCTAGGTATCCTGTGTAAGGAGTGGGTGCCCCATGCTGTCTTATATGCTACAAACTGGCTTGGCTTTGAAGACCAAAGAGGACTTTTGCTGTATACCAGGAAGTCAAGCAGCCTCTAATCTTCAAACAATGTATTTTCATGACTCCTTTGCAAGCCTGATTTTATTTGATGCTGGTACTTCTGACCTATGTACTCCAGATGAACCCATTTGATGGTCTTGGATAATTCAAAGAAAGTTTCCAAGGTTCAGCTGAAACTTTGGAGGCAGAGAATAAAGCCTGTGTCAAGATGGGGAAGCGATCTGTAACCTGAGCTTCATATTTTTTTAAACACTCGGCAGTTGAGTCAGCTCCATGGGGAGTTCCACACTGTAAAACAGTTTGGATGCAATTCTAGCAGAACAACTTGATGGGAAGCCCAGCTCTCTGCCTACACTCCTGGTTACTACTAATTTTTCCAGCTTGATTTCTCTAACAAAAACAAGCCAGGCCTAGTGTTGGGAAGACACCGAGTAACTACAGCTCACAGTGGTATTTTCAGGGGAGTAGGGGTGCCCTGCACCTCTCCAAGAAGCAGACAGGGAGCTATTAGCCAGCAGTTTTTCCCCGCTTTGCACCCATCATCCTTCCTTGTTCTGAGTCAGATGCTGGAAGAAAAACTGTGAGTCCTGAGATCTTGCAGATGAATGTCATTTATTAAAATCTCCTCTGTCACAGGAGGAGATTTTTCTTGCCCGTTTGGATGACATGCACTTGGATTGCTGGTTATTATGTTAACTCTGGCAGAACATCAGGAAAGAGAATAAGAAATAGCATAAGAGAGGATTATGTCATCTTTTTCCTCCTGAATGCCCACCACAGCTTCCACCCTATAATCCCTGTTGCTGAGCACCTTCCAGATGACATTGCTGTCTCATTTGTACCCTGATGGCTTCAGCACCAGTGCATGGAAATGTCATGCCCCCCCCGCCCCTGATGTTTAGAGGCCTGTTTACACTAACTTCAGCAGTCAGGTTTCCACTTTTAGAACCTTGTTTCAATATGTGCAAATGCTCAGTGATTGCCTTTGGTGTACTGACACTTGCCAACGGCTGAGCTGGAGGGATTCCTCAGAGTCAGCCTTTCTGTGCTGGAAAATGTAAAGCTGAGTTTCTTTTCCAGGAATTACTCCCTTGGGAAAAAAATAAATTTGAAAGCTCTTGAAAAGATGCAGCATAAACTATTTTCACTTTTTAAGTTTATTTTTTTAGGGAGCAATTCAGGTTGCTGAGCACAGATGTCTGACACCCTGTGAGACCCCCTTGGTTTCTGAGATATCCATGTGATATATGATTGACGGATATCACACAGGGGCACCAAGAGACCGAGTGTACTAGAGCTGTAGTCTAGTGTATCTCACATAGTATTTGGTGCCTATGGCTAGGCAAACGAATTGTGCTCTAAGATCAAAACATTGCACTGTTTTTGTTAGACAGCTATATGTAAGAGCCTTGAAAAATATTACTTCTACAGTGACTGAAGAAGATTTTCCCCCATGTTTTGGCTTGGATGGTTAACACCAGGAGCAGTTATTTGCACACTGTCCCCAGTGGCTATTTCACAGTGACTCATTAAACACTACAGTCTTTGAAGGAGGAGGAGTCAAGGAGGCATAGTCTACCTTCCACACCTCCCCCCCCGCATCATTACTGCCCTTCATTTATGAGAAATTGGGGCTATATTGGTGCTGGAGCCCTACAAGCCTTTTTGTGGCATCATCTGTGAGAAGTACCTTTGAAAAAAATACAACTTTTTCTAGTCCTGATTTACAGTTTCCAAACTCCATTTAGCAGAAGAGAGAATAAACTCATTGTAGGTTTAATTGTCACCATGCAGTATCCCTGGAGCACAGGGCATCCGCTCTTCATATTCTTGTAATGCATGACCCAACAGCGAACTCTCTTGCAAACCATCTGGAAGAAGAAGAGACTGACTCTTGACTGTCTGAGAATGAGGAAAGCCTGGGGAAAAAATTAAGGCAATTACATTTTCATAGATATACTGATATATAAATAAATAACGCATACATTTAGGTCAGGCAACTTGTTTTCGGTTGACCAATTATTTATCTGTTATGTGCTGCCTTAGTTGATTCCCACTAGGGAGTCCAGTCAAGGGAGCCCTCAGTCCAGCCCATGCACGCTGAGCTGAACTTTTCCACAACAGAACTGTCTGTATGTGGAACATCTAATTCACGTCTGTAAAAAAGATCTGGTTTTCACATCTTGGTGAGAACAATCTGTTGTAGGAGATGAAGTGAGACCAGTTAGCATTTGACAAAAAGGAAATCCCCTTTTTATTGCCGCCTTCTTAACTGGGTTAAGTTAATAACTTGAGGGGTGGAAAGTGCTGTTTCTGTTAGCTCTCAAGGTAAATAAACCCTGGTTTTGAAGATCTGGCATGCCTGAAATCCTGGAACACACAGAGGTTTGTTAGCATTTCAGTTCCTTTCTGTAGGACACTGTAGATCATGTTTACATTTTCCACTCTTCCTGGCCTACTTATTTTTAAGAAAACACAGTTGGGGTTCTCATCTGCTCATGTCTTTAAGTACATAAATCTACTAGACTTGTTTATACAAACCTTTCTGAAAGGAATGAGTGGCCAGAACAGAGGATGTGTTTTATAAAACCATTTTTTCTTCTTTGCTTTCTGCATTGGAAAAGTTGCAGCTTGTTGAAACCACAGAAGAGGTTGATTTGGCCTGAGTGAAAGACTCCTGGGGCAGATGTCCCATCTGCCACTTTACGTCATGCCGTGATCTGTTTGCTGGCTCTCTGCACGTGCATAAATCGCACCAATCATTCTTACTATTAGGTCTTCATGGAAGGGTTACAGCAAAATAACTGGGTTTTTTGGCCTGATTTTTCCTTCAGTCAGTGTTGACCATTTTAATTGTGCTCACTAGTTGGTGAGAACCAAGGCAAGGGGAAGGGCAGAAAATTTTTGATAAGACAGAGGTATGGAGATGGGCACTGCTAGGGAGCTGACCTGATCTTGACGTACACTGTCTCAGCACCTGCTCTAAAGGAGCAAAGGTTTTCTTCTTCTTGTCCTCCCCCTAAAATTCTCCTTTCTGCCCTGGAAAAAATGTGGAGATACCAGCTTTTCCCTTGCTGTTGATGTTTTCTAGACCTCTTTGGAGACAAAACTAAGCTGCCCATGAGTGTTTCATAGCTGGTGTCCATAGGCGGTGAGTGTAGGTAGGGACATAACCATGGTTGTTGTCTGTTTCCTTAGAGTGCCGGGTGATGAAAGGGAGCCCTGCAGCCGCCACAGGCAGTAAGTCATCTCCCACCCCTCAGAAGAGCTCAGCAAAGAGTCCAGCCCCCATGCGCCGGAGCAAGTCTCCAGCCGATTCAGGTAACCATCAAGATGGTGAGTGATTGTTTTCTGGTGTCTGAATATTAACTGTGCTCAAGGGTGACTTGGGATACACTAACCGTGAGTGTTTGCATATGAATCTTCAGCATTTTTTTAAATGCAAGAAGCTGGTGCTAGTGTACAGGCACACATCATAAATATTGGAGAGGAATTCTGTGGTTGGTTAAGTGCAGTTGTGGCTTTAGGTCATACCACCCACAGTCTCACAACCTCCACCCCGAGCAAAATTTTAAAAGAAGTTTCCATTTCACAGGCAGGAAATCAAGGCCCACAGTGCTCCCACATGTTCCTTATAGATACAGGCTGATTTAGAATAACCTCCTGTGCAATGCACATGTTTATTATTGTACAGGTCAGTAATGTCCCCTTCTAATCGCTATTTATAGAAGACCAATGGCCTTGCAATTGGAGAGCTGGTGATGGGTTCATTGGTGTGATACTGAGACATTTATTCAGTAATAGAAGAGAAGGAAAATGAGGATCCTTGTTTGCTGCAGCAGCTTGTGCCCTTTGAAATGCGTCCTTCCCTCTTCAGTAGCAACTGGATTGGTGGTGTAGCAGAGCCTGTAAGTTAAAGGCTGGGCTGAATATCACACTTCTGGTAATTGATAGATTTTAGAGTCATGATGGAGAGGGTGGATCTCTAGGTATGTCATCTGCTGGCCTGTTTTTTTCCAAAAGAGAACCAGACATAGCCTTTCACTAAAATGGCCAAATCACCAAATAAGTACTTCAGGATTCCAGGAGAGTTTCATGGCTTAAATTCAAGTGACCCACAGTATTCACAGGTGATACAAAACAGAAATTGCTTTTCACCTTCATGATAACACATTGCATATTGCATGTGAACGCCACACAACTGCTGACCATCAGCAGATATTGGATTACTGCATATAAAATTCTCCTGACAGTATTCAGAAAGATTTTCCCCAGGAAGCAGTTAATTTGTTTAGAATCTCTTGATGTTCTTCAGCTACTTAAAGAGACAATGTGAAATTGGTTGGCACATACCAAGACTCTGTGATTTTAAAGAAGTTATTTCTCTGTCAGGCGATTTTGCATTCATAGAGTTTTCCTTTCAGATTCCAGTGTTGGCTGCTCTTAAACTCAGGTTTACTATAATCTAAACAGCTTTTATAATCCCAAGTGCATGGTAAAGTTACATAGCTACATTGAAGGCATGATGGAAAATATGTTCTGATTTAAAAAAACCCAAAGAACTCCCATTCAATAATCTGGGAGTCAGCTCATGCATGAGTTGTGATACAGCATTTAAACCTTCTCCATAACCATCAGGTGCTAATTACCATCAGAACTAGACTTTATTGCATGGACATATAGTTTAATGTGAAATGGCAACTATTGTGTTCCTGATTTCAACTGACTGACTGACTCACAGGAACAAAATGGTGAGTCATCTGATGAAGTTTAATGAACAGAGTTAGTAGAGCCTTTTGGAAGGAGACTAAAATAACCAGAAATGCTGAACAATAGCCAGCTCCTGGAGTTAAGGCCAGTAATGAAGAACAAATCAAGTTTCTTTAATCCATCTAGACAAGGGTCTTTCGTACTCTCCTGTGATTTCAATACAGAAAAAAATGGCAGCCTGTCCTGCTTAATGAGAATAAAAGATCACTGAACTCTCTCAGTGCTGGAAGGGTGTATAAAGACAGTTATTTTCTCAGGACAGAGAGAAAAAGAAGAATACCATCTTGTGTTCTTGTCCCTTGACTTTGTAATAAAGAAAGTGGGTCAACATATTACTTAAGAGTCAATATTTACATGAACAATCAACAGGTTTAGCTGGATTTTGAAGTTAACACATTAAAAAGGCAAGGAATGCTGAATGAAGCCTGATTAGGCCTGTTTTTTTCCAAAAGAGAACCAGACATAGCCTTTCACTAAAATGGCCAAATCACCAAATAAGTACTTCAGGATTCCAGGAGAGTTTCATGGCTTAAATTCAAGTGACCCACAGTATTCACAGGTGATACAAAACAGAAATTGCTTTTCACCTTCATGATAACACATTGCATATTGCATGTGAACGCCACACAACTGCTGACCATCAGCAGATATTGGATTACTGCATATAAAATTCTCCTGACAGTATTCAGAAAGATTTTCCCCAGGAAGCAGTTAATTTGTTTAGAATCTCTTGATGTTCTTCAGCTACTTAAAGAGACAATGTGAAATTGGTTGGCACATACCAAGACTCTGTGATTTTAAAGAAGTTATTTCTCTGTCAGGCGATTTTGCATTCATAGAGTTTTCCTTTCAGATTCCAGTGTTGGCTGCTCTTAAACTCAGGTTTACTATAATCTAAACAGCTTTTATAATCCCAAGTGCATGGTAAAGTTACATAGCTACATTGAAGGCATGATGGAAAATATGTTCTGATTTAAAAAAACCCAAAGAACTCCCATTCAATAATCTGGGAGTCAGCTCATGCATGAGTTGTGATACAGCATTTAAACCTTCTCCATAACCATCAGGTGCTAATTACCATCAGAACTAGACTTTATTGCATGGACATATAGTTTAATGTGAAATGGCAACTATTGTGTTCCTGATTTCAACTGACTGACTGACTCACAGGAACAAAATGGTGAGTCATCTGATGAAGTTTAATGAACAGAGTTAGTAGAGCCTTTTGGAAGGAGACTAAAATAACCAGAAATGCTGAACAATAGCCAGCTCCTGGAGTTAAGGCCAGTAATGAAGAACAAATCAAGTTTCTTTAATCCATCTAGACAAGGGTCTTTCGTACTCTCCTGTGATTTCAATACAGAAAAAAATGGCAGCCTGTCCTGCTTAATGAGAATAAAAGATCACTGAACTCTCTCAGTGCTGGAAGGGTGTATAAAGACAGTTATTTTCTCAGGACAGAGAGAAAAAGAAGAATACCATCTTGTGTTCTTGTCCCTTGACTTTGTAATAAAGAAAGTGGGTCAACATATTACTTAAGAGTCAATATTTACATGAACAATCAACAGGTTTAGCTGGATTTTGAAGTTAACACATTAAAAAGGCAAGGAATGCTGAATGAAGCCTGATTAATAAAAGATGATCTGACCTTTTTTTTTTTCATCATTCTCACCTATTTTATTTGTGAAAGGATTTAAAAGCAGTTTTATTTCAAGTATATTAAATATTTTTGCTATGTGTTTGATATCCTACCCGTTTGTACCTTCTGCTTTTGCTGTCTTTCGCTCTGCTATGGTTGTCATATCAGAACTTGGAGTTTCCTTGATTCTATGTTATTAGTTTCTGTTCTTTTCAGTTCTTTTCCATGTAGGTTTCTATTGGTTTTTTCCACTATAGTCTCTAAGGCCATTGTGAGATATCTGGGCACTGATATAAATGCAGATTCTGAAGTAAATCTCCATGCTGCTTGAATGAAAGAAGTCTGAACTGTCCTCATTACAAGCACACCACAATTACAGAAAAGGATGTTATTTTTTTCCATTTCTCGTCCTAATTATTCCATTTCCCTGTTAAAGCATGTGGAAAAATGGTACATCATTTATCAGCAGCAAAAATGAGAATGCAGTAGAATTACATGTGGACAGTGGTCCGCATGCATTGCCCACAGAGGTAGCTAAGGCTTAAAGCAGATCGTGCATGCACAGCTGTGTCTCACTCCTTGGCAAGAACTTCAATGCTGCCAGCAGATAGTGGACAAAAGTAAGTCACTGTTATAGCACAAGAGAACAGAAAAAACTGCTTCAGCAGAGGTTGCTAATGCTAATTCTGAAGATGTAGCGTTGACAGCATGCAGGCATTGCATCCGCCTTCTCTACCATTTACTGTAGGAACACTTCTGATCTTTATGTGTCAATATAAATAAAACACTTCTCATTCAAAGCTGTGGAAATGCTTTGCGCCTGAGCAGCAGCTATCCTCCACACAGACTGGAGTATTCAGGGACTTGTGTTTTATCTCAGTCTCCTCCACTGACTCACTCCGTGGCTTTGAGTGCATCATTTAAGCTGTTTATGCTGCCTTTGTCAATGGATCGTCCAAGACAGTGATAACTAATCTGTGTACAGAGCTCAGTAATCTGCCCATGGAATCATGCACAGGAAAGACCAATGAGGCTCTTTATTTGGGGATAATAATATTGGCAAAACCAAAGCTATTACCTCACAGATTGCTGGAGACAGAAGACATCTCTAGCAGCAGAGTAGCTGCAACATATGCTCCAGACCCTCCACCAGAGGCAAGCTGCACTCTAGCAAGGCCACTGTCTACACTCTGGTGTATCAGAGACTGCTCCACCAGCCTGCACACTCTCTTAATGCATTCAGTCCTGCCGCAGTGAACTGTCAGGTAGTGCAGGGGAATGAATACAACTGTGTAGCCCAATCCTGTGTTAGCCATTGTCATAGACTGTGTAGGTAGATCCCCACCTAAATTGACTTGTCAGCTTGGAAGCTTTCTATGTAGGGAGCTGCCTTCTGTGCCAGGTGATCTCCATTCATTTTTGATATCCTCTGCTCCTTCTGGTTTTGGCTATAGATTTAGTGATCTACTTCTCAATGACAAACATGGATTGAGGTATAACTACATTTCTGGGAGAGTCATGGCTGGAGTCCAGTTTCCCCTGATGGCACCCAAAGTTTTGCTCCTGATTGTGGTCCCTGGGGCCACCTCTGAGTCAGAACAAGAGCAGAATACAGAAGGAAATATATGTAGCAAGTCTGTAAATATAGCACTGAAAAGGAAACAGCTTCTAAGCCATTTAATTGCTCCTATCACCAGCCAGATGTGAACTGTAATGTATTCCTTGCCTGTCTTGTTACAGCACTCCTGGTAGTGAGGCACCTAAGTGGTCAGCTCCCATTCCAAAGTCACAAGGATTAACATGGAGCATATGAACAAAATGTTTTGTTATAAAACATCGCCACAAAAGGCTGTGCACAGAAGTACAAGTGCACAGAGAGTGCCAGCTCTCAGCTGCAGTGACTCGAGTTCACTGGTTGAATTGCTAC